ACTGGTAATGGACGAGTACGATGTATGTAAAATAATTTTTTTTTTTTATTTAATTATTTGAATACTATTCTTTTATTTAATTTTAGTAAATATTGGTCAAAATAATCCCGGTAATAATAATAATCCTAGCAATAATAATACTCCAACTTTACAATCTCAAGCCAGTGGAACAAATACAACTCAACAAACAATACCAACGGCAACTAATATTCCGGGTGTAGTAGCTGGTAATTTAGATTTCTCAAATATTGCTCGATCAATTGGTAGTATGGTACAAGGAATAACTGGACGACTTATTCCTGGAGCAACATTAATTAGTTCTAATCTTTCAATGCCTACTACAATGACATCATCAACACTGCCGTCATCATCATCATCTTCTTCATCAACAACAACAGCGTCAACAACAACAACAAATACCACTTCTTCATCACAGAATAGTAATACTTCAACAAGTACAATAACAAATAATCCTGAAAATGATACTGTTACTGAACAAATGCTTACAGGTATAATGAAGTTCTTTTTTTTTTACATAAAAATAATCTTTAATTGCATCCTTATTATTTTTTTTATAGAACTTTTACGTTTATTGGGTGGTGGTCTTGATAATCCAGAATTAGATAATCTTACAATTGGTTCATTTATGCAACGTTTTGGTGAAGATGTTGATGCTCGTTCGAATGATGGTAATATTCTTTAATTAAATAAATAATTAATAAAATAAAACAAAATTTTGTTTTTATTTTTATTTTTATAATTTAGGTACTAATCTGATTAGTGAATTATTTTCTACAATGACATCACGTATGCATTTTACTGATGTATGGAATCTCGTTTTGGGTAATCCAGTTGGACCACGTATTAATCAAGCGCGTCAATCAGCAACTGAATATTTACAGTAATAATATTATTATATTGTAATTTAATTGAATCTATTTATTATTAATATAGGAATACTTTACTTCAAGGACGACCTATAACACCAGAAACACTTGAAGAATTAACTGATAGACTTTATGAATCACTTTTACAAGAAGCTGCTGTGAATTTTGTACGTATGTTTTTTTGTTTGAAATTTGATATCCATAAATGATAAGACAGTTTGACTTTCAATATTCGAAGCTCATTTGGTAGAGAAGATTGATGATTGTTTCATTGCCCAACTGCGATCTTCTATTATTTTATGTAGACATCTAATGATTTTGTGCATACTTATACTCATCAAGTTCCATGCTAAATATATTGTATTTAACATTAATAGATAGAGAATTTTATGCTCTCAAGACTCTTAATGATATCTTTCAAGTGAAAAAAACTTGAAACTAACATTTGGTAGTATTTTGTTTTGAATACGATTTCGAAATTCATGTTTTCAAAAGTTAGCGTGTTCTATGAACGGTTTATCATTATATTTAATTGCATAGAGCTATTAGAAAGAACGTTTGACGTCGTTTTTTTTAATTTTTTCCTGGAAAAATTGTTCTTCTAAATGTTTATTTCTAAAATCGCAGAACATCATGAGATGCAGCAGCATTCGACAGCGTATCTTGCGGCATAGTTTGAATTTCAGCGAAACTATTATTTAAATATATTTTTAATAATTATTTTGTTTTTTGACAATTGCAGTTCAATGACTGACTGAATGTTAATCTTTTTCGATTTTTCGGCAACAGGAGAAAGTTATTCGAAACGAAAAATTTTCTATCAAATGAACTTAGAATAATTTTTTTCAAAAAACAAAAAAAGAAAATCAAGAGTGTCTTATTCTTTATTATAGACTATCTTGTTAAATAAAATATTTATTTCTAGAATGAACTTCGAGTTAAATCAAATATTAATATAGCAAATGTAATGAAACGTTTCTTTCGTCATCATGCTCTTAAATTATTACATATTTTATTTGATGATCGTATGTTGAATATTTTTATGAAGCAACTAAATATATACATTTTTTGTTTTGTTTTCTCTTTTTTTTTGTCTCTAGCAAATAATGTTTGGTTTGAACGTTTTCGACAACAATTAATTACAATGCGTAATGAATATTTAACATTATCATCACAATGTCTTGAAGGTGGAGAAGCAGCTGCAATAGATTTTATTCTTAATCGACATGTAAGAAAAAAAAAATATATTTTAAGTTGAAATAAAATATATATTAAAAATATTTTCTTTTTATTTTAGCGTATTATTTTTCGTTCATCAAATTCAATGATTGTAACATGGTCTGAAACTTATCTTCGTACATCTTTAACAAATGCATTTAATGCAATACGTTCATCACCACCCAATGTATCAAACTATTTAATAGAACCTACACCAATTATTGCACGTCATGTACATGTTACATCTCCATCAACAACACAATTAAGTAGTGTAATAAATAGAACTGATCATGAACGTGAAACAGCAGCAACAACAACGTCACCATCTAGTCCATCGTGGAAAGCAAATTTACCTGATGTTTGTATTTGTTTATATTTTTAAATATGATATCTATTTTTTTTGTTTTTGATTTTTTGAATTTAGGATTGGATTCCAATTGTTGTTCGAGATGTGAATAGTCAACATGATACACCAGCACAACCACCATTTAGTGATACATATAAAGATGGTATGCCATCTAAACGACGTCGTGTTCATATGCGTGAAGATTTAACTTCATCTAATTTATTACAAACACTTGTTTTACGTGCTTCATCAGCAAGTTCATCAAATCATCAAATATCAAATGGAACAATAATAACACCAGAAAATGTTCTAACTGGCGAAGCACCTTCACCAACACTTGTTAATACATTTGAACAAGAACTTAAACGTTTATTAGAACAACGTGTAAGACAAGATCGTGATTATCCTGAAGTACAAAATCGTATGCCGAATACAAAACGTTATTTAGATGGTGACAAATAAAATCTTAACTTTTTATTTATCCGTGTACAGATTTATCATCAACAGGAAACAAATAAAACCCCATTAAACAAAAGAACTCTCTATTTATAAAAAAATACTTCAAAAAAGAAAACACTGAATTTTTTTTTCTCTTCTTTTTTTTTCATTTCTCTTTTTATATTATGGAACATTGAAAGATGATATATGTTTACATGGAAGTTAACGATTTGTGTATTTATATGTATCTATGTGGTTTGCTTGGCTACACTTAAGCAGTCGATACTAAATCTGTTCACTTTCTTTTTTTTTCTTTTTTTTTCATTTTGTTCAAAAATCGCGAAAAGATTGTGTAAGACAAAATAAACATGCGCGCACCACAATAAAATGATTGAATTTTTAAAAAAAAAAATATTCTCTTACTATTTCAGATAATAAAAAGATAAAATAATAACATCAAAATGCTTGATTCATTACGTGCTATGTTTGAAACACTTGGTGATCAAGTATGGTTCTTTCGGTTTTTAGTCATTTTTGGTGTTATATGTATATATCGTACACTTTTAAATTACGTTATTCGTTCAAATCATTGTGCTAATCCATTTTGTTCAAAATGTTCGGGTTCAGGGACAATTCGTGGTCGTGCAATAAATAATATTAAAAATGATAATGATGATGATAATTCATTAGATTCAATTATACTTAATAATTTACTTCAACATGATCGTTTATGTCGTAAAAATGATGAAAAACCGACTGTTTATTTTCATCGTGGTTTAAGTAGTAATAATATTACATTAGTCGATCAACAAATACTTATTGATCATTATGATGAACTTCGTCAAGAAATTATTAAATATTTTCAAAAAAATGATAATATTCAATGGATGAATTTTTATTTATATAAAAATGGTAAAGAAAATAAAATTAATTGTGAAACATTACCAAAATTATTTGAAATTTTACATTTATTACCTAATGCTATTTGTATTAATAATCAATCTTGTCTATTTGGTGATTGTTTTCTTACACGATTAACATTAAATGATAATAATAATAATGAAGAAGATAAAAATAAAAATGGTTTAACAAATTGTTGTATTCGAATGCATTTTGGTTTGATATGTGATGATCAATCATTTGCATATGTTCTTATTAAAAATCAAAAACGCTTACCAATTGAAAATAAACGTATTATTTCATACAATCATGCACTTGAACATTCCATTCAAAATCCAAATAAAAAGCAACAAATTTTTCTAACAATTGATTTTTGGCATCCAGATTTATCGTCTGAAATGCGCAAACAATTAACATCTACATTTCATACTGGTTTAATATAGAAGAAAATTAAATGCAATATTCAATCTTGTTCATTTTTTTTTTAGTTTAATTTTGCGAAACTCAGAATTAGTCTGATAGATTGTCTTTTCTGCACTAAAAATATTTGTCGATTTTTATATTTTGTTTTCAATTAGAATAAAAAGCAATTAATAAAAAGATCTGCATATAAATAGATGAATCTATATTGACTCATTTTTATTTCTAGTCGAATCCATGGTTTTAGTTTGACCAATGTTTATCATTGGTAAAGTTTGTGAAAACCATAGTGAAAAATATTTATTAATTGTTGATTTTTCTTTAGCTATTGAAATTGCCATATGTGTCATTTTGAGTATTGGTTTAATAGTAGTGTTGATATTTTGTAAAAGGTATATATGTGTATAGATTTTCCTGATTTTTGATTATAAAAATAGAAACATTTATAGAATTGATCAAGGAAAATCAAACAATGATGAAGAGAGAAAAGTAGAACTTTTATAAACATCAATAAATGAAGGATTATTATTACAAAACACACTTATTGCATATTATGAACAACAACGTAATGAATTGCTAGAGCGACAGAAGTGAGTGCTTGCATTATTATACTTGTTGATAGAATCATTCTAACAAAAATAAAATATGAGTTAGTGATCATCTATCAGAATGACATCTCTACACACATAATATGAATTGATTCTCTTTAAAATTAATCCTGGCATATCTTAAAATGTTTTAATGTTATTTTCATCAGATAAGTTTTTGAAAATTTTTTCATAATTAATAGAATGGTTTTGGATGATTTAAAAGTCGAAACAACTGTTAGAAAAAATAATGATTCAGATTATACATCCAGACATTTACAATCTCATTCACCTCATTGTCTTTATGAATGTACCGGTTTTGCTTCTGTAAGTTTGTTTTTTATCAAATGGAAACATTTGTGTTTTTTTTTTTTATAACTATGGACATTTTATTTCTAGATGGATAATCTTGAAGTATCAAATCCACTGTTTTCAACGGATGCATTCTATGATAATGGACGAGTGTCGCCGACATTGCCATTGATAACAAAATAGAATCTTTGTTTTTTATATGCTCATTGATTGTTATTTGTTTTATTTTGCTTGAGTCAGATATTAGTATTACTGTGATACTTTTGATGCTTTTATACAACATGATTTAAAGTGTGACAAACACTAGAAATGAAGACAACTAGTTGACGAATAATGATAATCTTATGTCTTTTAGAATATGTAATATTAAATAATAGATCTAAAAATTGAATATAATCTGTTGACACATCAACAACTGAATATCTTAGGGATCAATTAAAATCAATTGATCGTACTTTCTAAATAATATTCAGATATATATTCAAAGAAACATAAAGTGTATAATGAACAATGGATTAATCAACAATACAATGTTATACGTCTATGATTTGATGATGCTATGTTTTCATCGCAAACGATAAATAATAGCTTTAGAAAATACGAGAATGTTAGTTATGGATGTAGGTTTTAGTCTTTATCTCACCCACACTCACACCCACACCCCACATTCTCGATTAGATTGTAAAAAATCAAAAGAAAATTTATCAAATGGAGATAACCATTCCTTCGTCTTCATCCCAAAATTTACCAATGTATTACAGAATTATATTTCTACCGATGCCCAATAGTAATTTTGGCTCAACCTTTTTATTGAAGAGAGCGCCTGAAGAGAAGTTACTTTGTTGTCATCTGTTTTTCTGTAAAAACTCGCGGTACCCTAAGCCCACCCTAGCGTAAAATTCTGTTGCCATCACTATTTTCATTGTTTTTGGATGAGAACCAGGACAATCATGTTCTTATGTATGCCATCCGATGATGCTCATATTCACTTTCGATTTGATTTTTGTTGAAATCTGACGTTGTAGATATGAAAACTGTGTACTGCTACAAACTCTAGAAGTTGTTCTCCACGTTCATTTCTTTCGTCATATCCGTATTTACTCATGATGGACTTCCAGTCTGCGTTATCGCTGCCAACCTTTGCGTTCCAATCACCTGTTATGATAGCTACGTCTTGTTTGGGTATCTTTGCTAATGCATTCTTGATGCTGTCATAAAATGCTTGGATATCTTCGTCTAGTGAAGAGAAGATTTCCGCATACACATGGATTATTATAACATTAAATGATATTATCTTAAATCTTGCCATAATTACACGTGAACTAATTGGATTGCAGCCCAGTAGTGACTTATTGACTTTTGCAATCCGTAGCATTCCTACACATCCGGTGTATGCTCGGAGATGCCGATGACATCGAATCTGAAACGCTTCATTTCATTTCTTAGCAATTCTAGTTTACCAATTGCCCATAATTTTTGCAAGTTCTAAATTCAAACTGACAGAATATCTTTCGTCATTTTTAGTCTTTGTATGCCATATTTAGCGGTTGTTACTGGTGATGCAATTGCATTTGTTATTATATTATTTGAGATTAAGGTTTTTCCAGTATTCAATCTTTCGACTCTGCCCTAGTTACTCGACAGTGGACGCAGGCCTTATTCACCCAAACGACTTCTGAGTCGGTATGGTTTTCTATTATGATCGCTTATTATTGGTTTCTTTCGCCTTTTTCTTTTGTGCAGATGGCAAAATCTGCACCCCCTTCTGTCTAACGCTTCTCTTTTTATTCTTGAGTTGAAAGAAGCAAGGAAATCCTAGGATGAAATTCCATGACCGGGTTCCCGTACATATTGTTTGCATTCAACATATTGTCAACCGAAAGATTCGAGATAAAAGAACCGTGAGTGACTTGTCCAGGGTCATTGCATGACTAGCAGTACTGAAGTTTGAACTCAGAAGCTAGCGATTACGTGACAAGCACATAACTACTCAGCCATGCCAGCTTATGACTGAATATGAAGGATAATTTCACATTGAAATTATCGTTGTAGGCGGATGCAAATGAGTATTTCATATAACTTCGATCAGTTGATTTATGAGTAAATAATTCTAACAGTTTTATCATGAATAACAAATTCTAACTACATCTTTTCAAATTTTCTAAACACACGCAATAATTAAATAATAATAAAAGAAAAAGAGTTTCATCAAATGTTAGTCATATTAAAGTTCATTGAAATAATAAATTTCCTTGTTCTATTAATGTCTGTATTTCTAATATTATTTCTACTGTTTCGGTTATTACTGTATGAGTCCTATTTGTGAGAAAAATATGATCAAAAACAAAGGGTATCAACTGAAGAGATTCTCTTGTAAAATATTGAAATTCAATGTTCATTTGATTTAAAGTACATTTCAATGATATTAGCCATAGTTTATATTCCAATAAATATAGAACTTCGTTTAAGAAGTAATCAGAATTGAAAATCAAATGATATCTTTTCTATAAATCTTCATTAACAGTAGTAAAAATACCACAATACAACGTGTCTTGACAGTATCTGGTAATTTTATTTCAAATTTTTCTTTTTCTACACGATCTATCGTTGTATTAACAATACAAGATGTCATTTTTTTTTCTTCATTTCTTGCTAAAACTTTCGCAAAAATGAATGAATAAATAAATTATAACGACTAATTAACTTAATACTAAATCATTTTTACTTTTATTGTTGACCATTCCTGTTATTTTTCTAATTACAACAAAAAAAAAAAGCGTCATCTATATTTTTCTTGTATAAAAAAACGATATGTCATGTAGTCTTTGTTTGTCGTACGAATTGAATTCGACCGTCTATCAAAGCATTTGTTCTTTCTTCAAATTTGCTACTACTATTTGCTATTGCTATATTTTGAATAGTGAAAAATGGAGAAAACAATTCGAACTGTTCTTGATCAAGCACAAAATAATAACATTCGACATGGTGAACATCTCAAAGCACTTGCTGATCTTTACACTAAGGTTTTTATCGTGAAAAAATTCTTCTTTGTTCGGTTTGATCTTTTTCTTTTGTAGTGCAATCAACAATCATTTCATGATGAATTTCTCCGTTGTATTGCTACAATAATAACTTCTCCATCAAATTCAATTTTTGTTGGACATGCTCTTCAATTTATTTCATCTTTTCTTACATTAGAAATTGGTTCATCAACAAATAATAATGATTCTCAAAATAATGATAGTATGCAATCCGATCTTTTTCATCCAATTTTACCACGTGTTATACAATTTTTTGATGAAGTATTTTAAATATATTTTCTTTTGTTTATTTGTTTTTTGATTATTAATTAGCATAAAAATCATCCAAGTGATTATGTTCGTGCAAATATATGTGTTCTTATTGGACAAACATTAGAAAAAATGGCTGAAAATGCTGAATTAGATGGAGATTTATTTGAATTACTTGTTAATATTTGTCTCGATCGAATGAATGATCGAAGTTATCAAGTACGAGCACAAGCAGCTAAAGCTAGTGGTCGATTACAAAATACAAAAGATCCTGATGATCTTATTACAAAACGTATTTAGTTTTCTTTTTAATACAAAAAGAATGTTTAATTAATTATTCTTTTGAAATTTATTTTTTCAAGGTCTTATTTGGTTAATGGATCATGATTCTCATCCACTTGTTCGAAAAGAATCACTTCGATCAATAGCTATAACACGTTCAAATTTACCACATTTTTTACGACGTCTTACCGATACAAATGCGACAGTTCGTTTATGTGCATATAATGTATTTGCACAAAAAGTTCAAACATTAAAAGTATTACCAACAATTGAACGTTGTAAGATTGTACGTATGGGTATGGATGATCCTGAAGAACCAGTTGTTCGTGCATTTGTTGAATGTGTTGTTCATACATGGATTGATAAATTACCAGTACCACCTGGAACTGATTTAGCACGTCAACCAGATGCACATAAAACAATAACTGGTTTTCTTAAAATGATCGATGTAATAGATATTGGTGAACAAACAGGAAGAATATTAAAAATGCTTTTTGATGATAATTTAATAAAACATTATGATTATTTTAAAGAAACATTTATTAATGATAAGTAAGAGATTTTTTTTTTTTTCTTCGAGTAGTGATTTTTCATTATCTCTTCTTGGATGTTTCTATATGAGTCATACAATTCTTCATTCACATTCATCAGTTTGTTTTCAGAGATCAAACAAATTAATGTATGATCCAAGCAATTCGTTACAACAAAATTTTATTCATATGTAGTTCTTGTAGTCATTAGAAAATTCTAAATGTTTCAATGGAAAAAAAAATACGATTATGAGATATATTTTTTAAGAATCGATATCTTCAAAAGAAAATGAAGAACATCACAGAGCGAAGGTGAGGGCATTAAAGAGTGTACGGGTAAGATTGTTGTCAGCCTAGTGCAAAATCTATACTTAATTGACAAATAATAATATGAAATGAATACTGAAAAAAATTGGTGATCAAAAATACTATTATCTCTTTCTATTTGATTTAATTTTTTTTTTCAAAATTGAAGAAGATTAATTGGTGTTGAACAACTCGATTGTGAATCGGTATTTTTTTGGCAACATCTTGTCGAATATCTTAGTCGAAATAATGATTATAATGAAAAACTTGATGCTATTCTACCTGAACTTGTCGATCTTGTTGATGTACTTTATGAGTAAATAATTTTCTCTCTATTGTTTTTTTTTTCTATTTATTTATATATCTTTTATTTTAAGATTAATTCGTTCATATCATGATGTTTCATCAACCCCTTCAGTAGCTGTAGAAATAAATTTTGTTGTCGATTGTGTTTTACATGTTATGGTTCATTGTAAATTTGATGATCTTGCTGGAAGATATCGTGTTGAAACATTATGTCGTGATATGTTTTTTATGGAAGAAATAGCACCAACAACATATAAAATGATAATGAATATAATGAAAAAAATTGAACCAAAATTTGAACATCGACAACGAAAAACTATTGAAATTTTAGCTGATCTTGAAAAACATTTAAATCGATGTACAGAACATATTTTAGCAGATCGAAAAAGTGAACATGAAGTAAGTTAATAAATAAAAAAAAAAAGAAAATAATTTTATGAAAATTTCAATTTTCTTTAATTTGTTTTCT